CAAAAAAAAAAAAAAAAAAAAAAAAAAAAAAAAAAAAAAAAAAAAAAACCTCACCTCTTAGCTCCCCTTCTTCCCAGGAAAGCTTGTGTCTCTTAGAGAAAGGCCTCTGTCTCCGCAGCTATTCCCACAGATGTCCCTCCTCAAGTCTCTGCTCATATCCCCAAACAAAGGCCTCCTGGCCTCTGTTCACCTGTGTGCTTCCACAGACTACCTGAAATCCCAGGTCCGGTACTGCAGTATTGTTTTCTAGTCCCCTCCCTCCTCTTCCTGTGAATAGAGAAAACAATTGAACTCTTACTAGGTCAAAACCAGTTCTACCTAAGTCCTTCTCAACCCAGGCCACTTACGTGTTTGCCAGGAGAGCAGGGCATAGGGCACTCGTGGACGAGAACTTTGCTCACTTGGTATGTTGTAAGTGTGGCTGTGTTTTCTGCTTTGCTGAGTTGATATCTCGCTGGCAGCTTCCGGCCCCAGCCTGTGAGCAAAGGAGACGTTACCTGTAATGATTTCCTTTCTAGACTTCATGAGTGTTCCCCACACCTGACAAAGATGGGTTAAGCATCTTTTAGGGGACCCATCTAAGAAGAATTTTCAAGTAGTGTAGTTCTAATAAATGTTTGAACCTCAAAACTTCTATCTCTTGAGGTTTCATGGGTTTATTTATGGGTATTAGTTTTTGAATGGATTTATATTTTGTTTGAAATGAATTGGCCCGGCTGTAGAGGTCTCCTAACTTACTCTAATACCCATGTTTATTTTACTTCACCTTGGTGGCATCAGTATCCAATCCAACTTAGCAGGAATTGTAAATTTTATTATATTGTATTTTAGGTGGTAAGTTTTCTGCCTGCGTGTTTGTATGTGTTCCATGTGCATGCAGTTCCTGCAGAAACCAGAAGACAGGCAGACTTGAACCATCACGTAGATGCTGAGAACCGAACCCAAGGTCTCTGTAAGGGCAGTAAATGATCTTTAACACTGAGCCACCTCTGTAGCCCATCAATTTAGCAGGGATTGTATACCCCTTCTTTTAATTTAATATTGTTTAGTTAATCAAACGTAACTATTTCAATGCCTTTGTAATACGCCCTGTTAGTAATGCTAATCTTTTGTGTGTTTTCTTGTGTTAGCATTCACACTAAATGGGTGTCATTGAATTTTCGTACAGGCTTTGTTTTTGTTGATCCCTACCCACACTTCCCTCCTCTGCCCTCCTAGCTGTGTCCCCTGTCCCCCTCCTCTTTGTCCCCAGTAGCCCCATTCTCCTTTCCTGTCACGTGCACCACTGTCCTTGTTTTCTTCCTCTCCACGACCTCTCTTCCTCCCTCCCACAGTCCCTGTCTAGCTTCTTGACTTAGACGCTCCAGCCCACGCGTGGAAACAGTGACATCTGACAGGTGAAGGAAAGCCTGTCGCGTTTGTCTTCCTGTGTCTGGTGTACCTTTCCATTCAGATGCCTTTAGTTTCTAATCGACTGAGCGCACTTCTGTCTCCCTGTTGAGTAACAGAGCCTGTCTCATTACAAGTCAGATTTTAGAGCGTGGCACTGTTTTCCTCCTGAAACTGCCCCCCCCTCCCCAGGGAGTCCAGGAAGATGCCAGAAAAGCTGCCAGAGGGTCGGTAGCTGGTAGAATGCTGGTTGCTAAGAAGAAGAAGCCTAGGGGACAAGAAAGTCACTGTAGAGAAGACAGAGAGCTTGCCCCAGGGAGAGGGTGTGTGCTCTGGTGGTTGTGTCCTTGGTATGGCTTCTTAGTTGCTCTCTGCTACCCAGGGCTGAGGACTTTACGCCGTTCATTTCCACATTTGTTAAACAGGAACAAAAAAAGCTAGCAGCGTGGTCATCAACTTAGAGGGCCATCGATGTGGTGTAAGGAGAAAGGATGGAAGGGAGACGGGGAGCTTGGCGTTATCTTGTGTTTGATGAAGCTGGACAGTGTGGATCAGGGTGACTTAGGTGATCATGGGTCTCCTTGCTAAGTTCTCAGTGGATGGTAGATCTAGATGAAAGTCACCCACCACCCCCGTAGCTCCTGTGTATGCCTCCCTACACTACACTCTCTGCCATTCAGCTAGAGAAGGATGTTTGTTGAAACACCGTTCTCCCAGCTAGGTAGCTGCTGGGATAGACATCCTTGACACTGCTGCTTTGGGGGAGGTATAGCTTCCGGTTCAAGCAGACAGCAGTGAGTATTCGGAGCGAGGAAGTACCAACAGCTGAGTGTAGAAACCAAGCTATGCGCAGTTTTAGTCTGCTTGTGCTGGCTCTGTCGGTGACTACAGTTCCCACTTGGGTACCGAGAGGCAAACCCTTGATTTCCATCACTGAGTCAAGATTTTCATCTGTGAAGTTCTAGCTTTCCAGAGCCCGAATGACACACTGATGTTGCTTGCAAAGATACTTAGAGATGCTTATTTAGCTCTTGGGTAGCCAAAGGGATTAGAACTGTTAGCACAGAGGGAAAGGATGTCTCCAGCATCAAAATAAAGCCATTTAAATGGACTGAGTAGCCAGGATGGATAGCACTTTGGTGAATTCTTTACACACAGTGTGGAGATCTGTGTTGAGAGGGGCCTCACTTCTGGAGCTAGAGCACTGGCCGTCTCCTTCCTTACTGTGTAATTCTGAGTGAGTTACCTAACTTTTCCACATCTCGGTTTGTTCCTGTGTTGCAAGGAGGAAAGCAGATCCTCCCACCTCCCCAGAGCTGAGAGAATCATTCCACAGCTCCCAGATGGTGTGTGGGCTTCTGATGGTTCACAGGTGATCTCCCCTCCCAGCAGCACCCTCGGCAGGAGGAAGCTGCCTCCACCAGGGTTTAGCTCCTTCCCTGGGGTTTCTAAGGGGGCTGCTCAATACAAGAGCTCCTTTAAGAATCTGTCTACCCCCAGATCCTTCTCCCTTCCTGTCACAGATACTCTGAGGGTGTTTTCTGTCCTTAATGAATCCCCACAGGCCCATCTCAGAACCACAGACTGTTTCTTATGTATTCTGGCTTTTCATTTCACAAATAACTTAAAGAAAATGTCTCTCCCTCCTCTTCTTCCTCTTTTTCCCTTCTTCCCGGTAAAGGCAAAGTGACCCAGAGCCAGTCCTGGCCTGTAGTCTCTCCAATACAATTCTGGGTTCCTAACTGGTGCTCTAGGAATGTTGGCTGAATGCACTGATAACCAGAACAGGATTCTAATTGGTATGAGCCACTGCCAGGAAACCCCCTTCCCTCCTTTAGGTTGCTCCATCCCAGGAAATCCTACTGCTATATGAAAGCCACTATTGCCAGCTACATAGCCTTGACCAAAGCTTCCTACCCTCCTGACCAACATATCCCACTATTTCCTCCTCTTATTATTAATCTCTCTAACTTCTCATTATTCTAAATTGTTTCCTTTGTGTTCTTTGCCGTTCTGGCTGTTGTTTGTCAGGCCTCCTTGTTTATCTCAGCTTCCTTTTTTAAATTTAAATTTGATATATTTTTATATAATTTTTTGAGAATTTCATATATGAGTAGTCTATTTACATAGGTTTACCACTCCCTCTCCCCTCCCAACTTCCCCAATGCCCCGTACCTGGAATAGCCTATCAGAACGCCTTTCCCGAGAGGACATTGATGTTCCCTCCCTCGGCAGCCACTGATGGATTTTTTTGAGGCTCTTCACCTAGTGTCACATGGTCCTACATCAGCCACCAGCTCACAGATAACAATATGGAGACGTATTAATTACAAAAGCTTGACCACTAGCTTAGGCTGGTCCTACTAGCTCTTATAACGTAAATTAACCCATTTATATTCATCTGTATTCTACCGCGTGGCATACCTTCTCTTCTATCTTGCACTTTCTATGTTCCTCTATATGTCTACCTTTCTTCTTCCCAGAGTCCTTTCTGTCCCTGGAAGTCCTGCCTAACCTCATTCTGCCTTACTATTGGCCATTCAGCTCCTTATTAAACCAATCAGAAGGTACCTTGAGAAAGACACATCTTCACGGTGTAAACAAATATTCTACAACAACCTAGGGGGTGGGTTCTTGTGAAATTTCCCACACCCTCATTGGCATGCCAACTGGTGGTATTATTATGTAGGTCCTATTTAGACCATATTGTTGAGATTACATGGGTGAAGCCTCGAGTCTTTCTTAACCTAGAGGCTCATGGGTGATGAGTGGGGATTGGGCAATTTCACACCAGCCCCGGTTCACCTTGGCTAAGCATCCTGTCCTCCCTCCGAGTCAACTGTACCCTTTCCACTACCACCAGACAAAATGTCTGTCCCCGTTAGTCCCCACGTTGTCTTTCATTTGGAAATAGTCTTTCGCTGCAAGGGTTACATCAGGTTGAGGGAAGGGCAAGGAAAGTCCCGGGGTGGCCGAGTCAGGCCCAGAGCCTTGGGCTTGGCACTGGATTGCTTGACTCATCCATCAAGAGTCATAATGTCTTGTTCAGGGGACTTGTGGAATCTCCCTCTCTGGAATTCTTATTTTTTTTAATGGAAGAAATTTTCATTTCCTGGGGTTGTTTAAAAGGGTTTTGGCTTTAGGGCAAGGAAATAAATCTGATGACTTAGAAAGGGTAAGTTTCCATGATTATAAGATCCTCATGGATTTGTGAAGACGTGGAATGCATAAACTAAATAGCCTTCAGCTATGGTTTCTTAAATCACATTAGTTATTTTTTTTTTAATGTAAATTCAGCTCTGTCACTGGTCATAAGTTTGTTAGCTAGCAACAGAAACAAAAGACGGCCAACAAATTTAGAACAGCAGCATTTCAGGAAAAGGCCCAGAACATTCCACTGGAGTAGAATCAGGGAAGAACTGGTAGAAAGGATGACTCAGGAGACATCAGTTATGAAAAGGCTTTGATCAACAGGACACTATGAAGCCCGCTTTCCCGCGTTCCAGGACAGTGGATCCCTGTCCATCTGCATGACACAAGATGACCCCAGTGTTCCCTCGACACCCCTCGGACTCCCTGGAACCCCTGGCTTCTCATCCTCCTTACCCTCTCACTCTGCTCAGTGGTTTCTTTACATCCTAGCTCTTGCTGTGTCTTTCCCTGGGCAGCATCCATGTGCAGCCTGCCGCTGCCCAAGTAATCCTTGTTGATGCTGATGCTGTGTGTCAGTTGAGAGACAGAAGTAACAGTCACTGTGCTGCAAGTTCCTTAAAAGCATCCCCAGTTCTTGCTCTGTTTGTAAAGCCACCACATGATTTGACAAGGCTGTCCTAATGGACGATGGAAGCTCCTTGTGTCACTGTATTGGAAATCACAAGTCTGAGATT